TACACCCCCCACTAAGGATTAGATGATTAAACTCGGGGAGATTTTTGGGATCAAATGGATGATAGGAGATATTCATATGAGAAACCGTTGTTATAGGTGGAGATTTCAACGGCATGAATAAATAAATTAGATTATGAGAGGGTGTATGGTGGGTATGTTTTGGGGGATAGAACTGATGCTGGAGAGAGTATTTTAGATTTTGCGTTAGCTTCTAACCTCGTAGTGGCTAATACTATGTATAAGAAGAAAAATAAGCATTTGATAACCTTTAAGAGTGGGTCAAATAAGAGCCAAATCTGTTACTTTCTACTAAGAAAAGTGGACATTCTAAAATGTAACGACTGTAAGGTGATTCTTAGAGAGAGCCTAACATTTCAACATAAGATTTTAGTGCTAGATTTATGCTTCAAAAAGTAGCACAAAGTTAGAAAAAGATAGTGGGCACCGCAAGACGAGATGGTGGGATCTAAAAGGGGATAAATTAGAAATATTTAAGAATAGAGTAGATGAAGAAGGTACTTGGGACTTGGAAGATGATGCTAACACTATGTGGAACTCGATGATCAATTGTATGAGGAGAATCTCAAGGGAAGTCCTTGGAGAGTCGAGGAAAAGGGACCCAACTCAAAACTTGGTGATGAAGAAATGAGGTTCAAGAGGTAATGAAGAAGAAAAAAGAGTGCTTTAAAAAGTGGCAAAAATATAGAACTGAGGAAAACTTTAAGAATTACAGATTAACTAATAAGGAGGTAAAAAAAGTACTAAGAAAGGCTAAGTTGAAAGCCTACGATGACCTATACACTAGATTAGATAGTAAGGAGGGAATAAGAGAATATAAAACTTACCAAGATAAAAGAGAGGAAAATAAGAGATTTTAATTAGGTATCAAGAGTGAGGACTTTAAGGTGTTGGTGAATGATGAAGAGATTAAGGAGAGGTAAAAGAACTATTTTGAGAAGTTGTTAAATAAGGAACATGGAAGAAGGTCAAAAGGGGAGATGTAACAGTAATACGAAAAACTAAGACTACAGGTTTTATTGCAGGATTAGGAACTTTGAAGTGAAGATTACACTTAAGAAGATGAAATCGAATAAGGTTTTAGGACCTGATGGTATCCCCATTGAAGCTTGAAAATATTTAGGTAAGAATGGGGTTGCTTGGTTGACTAGATTATTTAGTAAAATTTGGTTGATTAGGAAAATGCTAAATGAGTGAAGGAAGATTATTTTAGTACCAATCTACAATAATAAAGGAGATGTCTATAATTGCAACAATTATAGATGAATCAAGTTGATGTGTCATATAATGAAAGTGTGGGAGAGAGTAGTGGAATGTTGATTGCGAGATATAACAGACGTGTCAAATAATCAATTTGGATTTATGCCCGATATGTTAATAATGGAAACGATTAATAGAGAAATATAGAGAGAAGAAAAGAGACACTCATTTGGTCTTTGTCGATCTTGAGAAAGCATATGATAGAGTGCCTCAGGATATAATCTGGTGGGTGTTAGAAAAGAAAGGGATGGCTAAATGCTGTATTGATGATTTTGGACATGTATAAAAGTGTAGTGACCACTATTAGATCACTAGCTGGAGAGAGATGTAAATTTCCGATTACTGTGGGGTTATAACAAAGATCAACCTTAAGTTCTTATCTTTTTGCTTTAGTTATGGATGAGTTGACAAGTAATATTCAAGATAATGTATCATAGTGTATGCTTTTTGCAGATGATATCGTGTTAGTGGATGAGACTAGAGAAGAAGTTAACACTAAATTGGAGACTTAGAGAGAAACACCTGAATCTAAACAATTAGGATAAATAGAACTAATACAGAATACATGAAGTGTAATTTTAATAATAGTAACAATGGAAACAGAGGAGAAGTGAAGATTAAGAACTAAGAACTACCTAAGATTGAACTTTTTTTGTTATTTAGGATCAATTATCACAACGGCTGGAGAGATTGGAGCACATTAAGGTGAGGTGGTTTAAGTAGAGGAATGTGTCCGGGATACTGTGCGATAAACGGGTATCCACTAGATTAAAAAGAAAGTTATATAGAATGATTATTAGACCAGCAATATTGTATGTGACGGAATATTTGGCAATTAAGAAATAACATGTAGATAAGATGAGTGTTACTGAGATGAGAATGTTAAGATAAATGTGTGACAAGACTAGAAAAGACAGATTTAGAAATGAGTATATTCGTGAATAGGTAAGAGTAGTACTGATAGAGGATAAGATGAGAGAGAATAGATTAAAATGATTTGGTTATATACAACAGAGACCAACAGAGATAGTAGTGAAGAGACGTAATACAGTGACAGTAGAGAGAAGTATTAAGGGAAAGAACAGACGAAATTGACATGGATTATGGTAGTAAATAAAGATATGAATCTCTTTAATTTGACTAATCAAATGGCCTTTGATAGAGTGGAGAAGAAAAATTCATGTAGTCGATTCCATTTGATGGGACTTAAAAATTGGTTTGGTTTGGTGTGATTTTATAATCCTCATATTTTTGTTGAATTGATTTATTTTTTGGGTAATTGTTGTGGAATCTAGTCCTATTGGGACCTTTTACCCAAGATATAAAAATAAATAAATAAATAAATAAATGTGTGACAAGACTAGAAAAGACAGAGTTAGAAATGAGTATATTCGTGAATAGGTAAGAGTAGTACTGATAGAGGATAAGATGAGAGAGAATAGATTAAAATGATTTGGCTATATACAACAGAGACCAACAGAGATAGTAGTGAAGAGATGTAATACAGTGACAGTAGAGAGAAGTATTAAGGGAAAGAACAGACGAAATTGACATGGATTAGGGTAGTAAATAAAGATATGAATCTCTTTAATTTGACTAATCAAATGGCCTTTGATAGAGTGGAGAAGAAAAATTCATGTAATCGATTCCATTTGATGGGACTTAAAAATTGGTTTGGTTTGGTGTGATTTTATAATCCTCATATTTTTGTTGAATTGATTTATTTTTTGGGTAATTGTTGTGGAATCTAGTCCTATTGGGACCTTTTACCCAAGATATAAAAATAAATAAATAAATAAAAATCAATACAATAGTGATACCATACTATGAATATATGCAATTTTATATTGAAATTTTTGGACTATTGTTAGATGAGAAATATGGATTGATTTTAAAAAGTGATTAATAGTTATCTAAATTTCATGGGCCGTTTGGGAAACCAAAATTGTGTGACATAGTTAATTTTTTTTTTAATTTTTTTTTTCAAAGGTACTTAATCTATAGGTTCATTTTTTTAACTTTTTGGGTCAATATGTTTAAACTTAAATCTTTTTAGACCAGAACGACATTGGTCTATCCAAATGCCACATGTTCAAATGTTACTTTTGTATACATATTACTTATCTATGCACGTGTTATATATTAGTGTAATGTCACCTATTTGTTCACCTTGTTGCCACCAACCATCATTGACTTTCTAAGAATTTTCTGGCTAATTTTCTTTATGAAATTTCAACGACTTTTCAACTCTTGTTTTATCACAAAAAATATTAAATCTTTAAGTAAATAACATATGGTCTCATAACTATATGATTTTCACCAATTAACCTTTTTTCAAAAATAGCATTGTAAAATCAACTCATATTTTTCATTTATCGATTGCCTATTTTAAATATAAATTTGTGCATACTTAGCGTGTGCACTCATCCCTAATATATATATATATATATATATGAGGAATTTACATGTTATTTGATTGAGTTTTTTAAATTTATTTTTAATTTTTTTCCTTAAAAAATCACAATACTTATTATTTTAAAAAATATATATTTTTTTAGTTAAAATCAAATTTACAATTTTTTAAAATATTTTTTAATATTTAATTTTTCCAAATCCATTTTAAAAAAAATCTTTGGTTTTAATTTTCTGGAAATTAAGTTTTAATTTTTCATTTTTTTTTTAATTTTTAGGGAATATTTTTAAAGTTTTAAGTAATTTTTTACTTTTTTAAATGCACTTTACTTAAATGTATCTAAAAACAATTGTAAAAAAAACAGTAGAAAAAAAATAAAAAATAAAAGTTTTAATTTTTTGAAAAGTAAATCTTGGAAAAGTGAAACAAAACAATGGCCTCGTATGAAAACTAGACTATTTTAGTAGGCTGTTTTAGTTTTTATTATTTCAATACACTAAATTTTTTGTATTTAAGAAGATGATTGGATTTTTTTATAATTAAATGTGATATTTGTAATAAAAAAAAAGTAAAACGATTATAAATTTTATAGTATTAATTATTTTAATTTATTTTATCTTTTTATAAATTAAAGTAAAAAATTAAAAAAACTCGCTGTGACTAATGGTGATTATTCAGTACTCCTGGAGTATGTACATGTGGTTCTCCATAAGGTTTTAATTGGTGGAGAGACATAAGGGCCCACGATTTATGTTGGAGATGGGAGAACAACATGAAACTAACTAATTAGTGATTAATTTGGAGTATGGACTCGTGATGTTACGAGAGTATTGAATAATTTCGCCTACGGCCAATGTATTCGGTTGTTTGCTTTTGCTCGTTGGTCAAACGAGAAGAAATGGACAGCAGTCACTTGCTTAGGTGGTAGTGAATATGGCATTCGCTCTTTCGCTATCATTTTCCGCCCGAGTCCAGATCTTCTATGGTACTCTCTATAATGCTCCTGTGATTGTCAAACGACGCCATTTTAATTATTTTTTCTTTTTTCTTTTTTCCTTTCCCGCTCTTTCCTTTTCTATCCCATGTGAGAGAGGGAAAAAAAGAAGAAAAAAATCTCTAACAAGAAATGTTGTAGAAAAATAACTTTTACCGACTTTTCAAAACACGCTTTATCCTTTAACTCCATTTGGTTAGGACTCTAATCAGTTATTGTGTGTAAAACCGCTCTCAAAACTCTCTCTCTCTCTCTCTCTCTCTCTCTCTCTCTCTCTCTCTCTCTTTCTATTCCCATTCTTGGAAAGAATCAACAATGACGAATCAAGAAAGAAATACGAAGGCCGCCGATGATGCAATGTCTTCGTCTTCATCTTCATCTTCATCATCTTCTTCTTCGTCGGACTACAATCTCTATCTCCTAATCGAAATCATCTTCGACATTCTAAATCGTCTCCTAGTCAAATTTCTCCTTCGATTCAGGTGCGCATGTAAAACCTTCTGCCACGTCACCTCTAACCCTACCTTCATCTCCTTCCACCTCCTCCACCACCACACCAACACCACCGTCGCCACCATTTTCACCTTCAAACACCGCTCCTCCTTCATCCTCTCTATGTTACAATCATCCTCATCGTCTCAAAACCCTACCATTCTGGTCCACCCTTTTCCCAACCACACTCACGATCTACACCTAATTGGCTCCATCAATGGCCTCCTCTGTCTCTCTCGAACCCTCCATTTCCATCAACGCATCCTCCTCCTCCTCTAGAACCCTACTACCAAACTCTTGAAATCTCTCCCTCCTCCCACCATCCAAATTGCTCCTAGGTTTCTTCAACTCTCTCTCGGGTTCGGATTCTGATTCCATTCTACAACTTCTTCCAGTGACTACAAGGTTGTTAGGATAGTTTCTTTCAAGTCACATACCCGAGTCAAGGTCTACTCTTCAATTTCTGATTGTTGGAGAGAGATTCAGGTAATGGATTTACGCTTTTATATCCATAAATTGTCTTGGGAGGTGATTGTCAATGGAGCTTCCTATTGGTTGCTCTCAACTGCTTCAAATCATTGTCCTTGCTTCACATGGTTTGACGTTCAAAATGGCGCTTTTGTCATGTTGTTGGGGCTCCATTTTTCTGGGTCCTACAACGGGACTTCTGTTGACTGCAAATTAATGGATTGGAAAGGTAATGTTGCTGTGGTTTTGTGTTGTCCTGGCAACCCATGTGTTGATGTGTGGATGCCAGAGGATCGTTGTGGCAGTGAGAGCAATTGGTGTAAGAAATTTGTGATTGGACCAGTTTTGGGTGTTGAACGATTTTGGTTGTTGCAATGCACGAAGAATGGTGAGATTATAGCAGAAGATGGACGGAGAAAGGATATTCTTGCACAACCCCCGAAATGGAGAGACTAAGTATATTCCTATCAGTGGAGTTCAATTCGAAGCTTTTCACTATGTAGAGAGTTTGGTTTCGATCAGAGGATTCAAACAACAAGAACTGAACAATCAGCACTGATGTTCTGCAAAGGTCAATTCGTCACTCGATCAGAAAGAGAGGAGATGAAAGATACTAGCAAAGAAAGTTTTTTTTTGTGGAAGCTTTGGGTGCACCATCTGTGTAGATTGGCCTGAACCATAAACGACAAGTGGTCAGGGGTGTATCCTGGAGGGACAGAGTCATAGTTTTGTGACTGGCTGGCATCGACTATTCGGATTCCTTCCTACCTCAGTGGGCTTGACTTCTTAAAGAAAAACGAGAAATGCCGTGCCTCAGTCTAATCTATTTGTACTCATTTTCTTAGCATTATTATCAATAAAAAATAATTTTTCTGGTATTTTCACCAACAACATGAGAGGAGAAAATATTAGATCCTTTAGCAGAAGCATAGAAAACATTGCAAGGCAACCTACAAACAGTACAGAGAAAACTCCAATTATTCCTTCCATCCCTATAACTGGGAATATAATTCGTACTAATACCCAAATTTGAAGGAAAGACTTGAACCTTGTTTTTGAAGGAAATACAAGAAATGAAACAGGATTGAAACTCAAATAGAGAATTAGCTAATGTTAACTATTCAAATTGTCTAAGCTATCTAATCAGAGGAATTAAAGGAATATCAACTTTCCATATTGTCTTAACTATTAATTTTGTCTAAGCATATCCATTCAAATGCTACAAAAGCTCAAAAAGCAAATGCTTGCAGAAAGTAGCATAAACAACCATGCTCGAGTTATTTAT